GTGGAGGGCCAGCCGGTCTGGGCCGTCATCTACTACTGCCTGCGCTGCGGCGACCTGAATGCCGCCATGACGGTGGTGAGCCGGGCGCAGCATCAGCTGGGAGACTTCAAGTCCTGGTTCCAGGAGTACATGAGCAGCCCGGACAAACGGTAGGACCCGGTCCAGGAGGTCGGTTTGGACCCGGACATGAAGCTGACCTTTCACCTCTCCCGCTCTCAGCCTCTCTCCAGCGTCGGAGAACAAGCTCCGCCTCCACTACCGCAGAGCTCTTAGGAACAGCGCCGACCCTTACAAGCGGGCCGTCTACTGCCTGATCGGCAAGTGCGACGTCAGCGACAGCCACGGCGAGGTGGCGGACAAGACGGACGACTACCTGTGGCTGAAGGTGGCGCTGTGGAGCCGGTGGGGAGGAGGCGTGGGGTCGGTCTTCTTCTCTAATGCCTCTGTGCTTCTGCTGTAGCTGAACCAGGTCTGCTTCGACGATGACGGCAGCAGCTCTCCTCAGGACAGACTGACGCTGCCGCAGCTGCAGAAGCAGCTGCTGGAAGACTACGGTACACGCCTCGCTAACGCTAATGCTAATGCTAACGCTAACGCTGCTCTATTCACTGCAGTCAGTAGGAAAAGATCAGAGGAGCTTCTCTGAGGTCAACTGGAGGAAGACTGCTATCTTCATCATCATCATAAAGATGGCCGCCGCTGCTGTAACAGTTCAGCCCTTTGTCTGCTGCTGGAAACTTTTCCACTGAATTCGACTGGAAGCCCAGAAACTTCTTCACTCCTCTCCCATCCTGTCGGCTCTTTGCCGACAGATGCAGGACAGGCTGCCTCCTCATCCTCTCCTGCATCTCTCTCTCTCTTTCTCTCTGTTTCTTTCTGTTTCTCTCTTTCTTTTTCTTTCTCTCTCTGTTTCTCTCTCCCCTTCCTTTGTCCTGCTGTCATGTGACGCTGCGTTTATAAGTGATAAGCGGCGAAGCGCTGCGTCCTGCTCAGCTCCTCAGACTCTCAGCCAACAAGAGGATTAAAATATTTCTAATTAAAACAATGACCCGATGACCTGATGACCCGATGACCTGATGACCCGATGACCTGATGAGCCTCAGCTCAGCGTTTCTAGTTTCTGCTGAAGGACTTGATGTGGCGTTTAGGAAACTGCAGCCATCATTATTTATGAAGTCATGTCCTGGTGACCTCTGACACCTCAGACACGATTTTCTGCTTTCCACAAGAAGGACTCCTTTCTTCAGGCTCATTCCAGAATGACCTCTGACCTTTGACTTGAGACAGCATCTCATCTGGCAGACCACAGTCTTGGACCTTTTGGTTGTGTCTCCATATTTACTGATGATCTTTTATTCAGTATTTAAAAGAGAATCCAGCTCTCTGGCTCCAGAGGAAGTTTATTTTTATCCTGGATGATCTTGTCCCTCCATCTTGGAGCCGTTGACCTTCCAGCCGCGCCGCTAACGTCTCTGCCTTCCCGTCTTCTCGTCCAATAGGAGAGTCCCATTTCTCGGCCAGCCAGCAGCCGTTCCTGTACTTCCAGGTGTTGTTCCTGACGGCTCAGTTCGAGGCGGCGGTGGCCTTCCTGTTCCGGGTGGAGCGGCTGCGCAGCCACGCCGTGCACGTGGCCCTGGTGCTGTACGAGCTGCGGCTGCTGCTGAAGTCGTCGGGTCAGAGCGCCCAGCTGCGTGAGTCGTTTTCTGCTACTGCGGCGATCCGCGCTGCGGGGATCGTGGTCACAGCGTCTCCGTGTCCCTGCAGTGAGCCAGGAGCCTGGAGACCCGCCCATGGTCCGCCGCCTCAACTTCATCCGCCTGCTGATGCTCTACACGCGCAAGTTTGAGTCCACCGACCCGCGGGAGGCCCTGCAGTACTTCTACTTCCTGCGGTACGTCCTCCGTCGCGCCTCTGCTGCTGGGTGAGCCTCCGTCTCTAACCGCCGCTGTCCATCTGTCCTGCAGCAACGAGAAGGACAGCCAGGGGGAAAACATGTTCATGCGCTGCGTCAGTGAGCTGGTCATCGAGAGTCGAGAGGTGAGCGACTCGGATCAGGAAGCTTCCTATCCTGAGCTTCTGCAGGTTCTGACAGCACAGAACCAAAGCATTTTTTATTTGACAAATCCTGTGAGCGGAGATGCCAACCCGACCCCCAGAGGAGGACGGAGGCATTAGCAATCGATCCCAGAACAGGCTGACCAGCCGATTGCTGACAAACATTAACACATGAAATAGAAGATGGTTTTAGTAACCAGATCAGGACAGATCAGCGCTTCTTAAATGTGATGAAATGTTTCTGAGGTTCTGGTCTTTGTGTTTCGTCCTGCAGTTTGACATGCTGCTGGGGAAGCTGGAGAAAGACGGCAGCAGGAAGGTAAGACGTCCTCCTCTTCCTCGTCCTCCTCTTCCTCGCCTTCAGGATGCTGAAGCTCTGCTGCTTCCTGACGACGTTGAGACGGCTCCGACCCGTTTGGCCTGAGCTGCAGGTTCTGACTGCGTGCTCTCCTCTGCAGCCCGGCATCATCGATAAGTTTGCAGGCGACACCAGAACCATCATCAGCAAAGTGGCGGTGGAGGCCGAGAACAAGGGTCTGTTTGAGGAGGCGGTGAGGCTGTACGAGCTGGCCAAGGTGAGCAGAACCACAGAGCCCGTTTGCATCGGGTCATCTGGACCTGCTGACACGGTTCTGCTGACTGTACGCCTCGCAGAACCCAGATAAGGTTCTGGAGCTGATGAACAGGTTGCTGAGTCCGGTCGTCGCTCAGGTCGGCGCTCCCCAGTCCAACAAGGAGAGGCTGAAGAACACGGCTGTGGTGATCGCCGACAGGTAACCATGGCAACACTGGCATCATCTAAGGCGCTGGTTTGACCCTTGACCTCGTTTCCACGCCGACATTCTGCTCCCGGTGCAGGTATCGTTCTCAGGGCACAGCTGCTGAGAAGTCCGTCAACAGCACCTTCTACCTGCTGCTGGACCTCATGACCTTCTTCGATGAGTACCACGCGGGTCACGTGGACCGAGCCTACGACGTGAGTGAAATGACCTCTGACCCCAGAGCCCAGAGGTCTGCCAGTGTTAACGTCCATCTGTCTGCCTGCAGGTGATGGAGCGTCTGAAGCTGCTTCCTCTGAGCCAGGACAGCGTGGAAGAACGAGTGGCGGCCTTCAGGAACTTCAGCGATGAGGTGGGCGGGGCTTTTCTCTTTGGGTGGGAGGGGCTTCTTTCTGGCTCCGCCCACCGATGAATCCCTGGTGGAGGTCGATTTCCTGCACAGCAGAGGCAGGCCAACAGGGGGCGACAGACAATCTGGCTCAGAATCATGGCGGATGGGTTGGACGTTCTGGTCGGCTCTGCAGATTTAAATGGTTCATAGTTTTATCCTCCAGCTGGTGGGTCGACTTCAACCCCCCGAAACAAAACTCTTCATGTTTCTCACGTTAATCACCAAATCTGCTGACTCGGTTCCATCTTGGCTGAACAGATTTTATTCTGTCAGTCGATCAATAAACAGTTTGACCTTTCTGACCTCAGGTGCGTCACAACCTGTCTGAAGTCCTGCTGGCCACCATGAACATCTTGTTTACCCAGTACAAACGCCTGAAGGGGGCGCCAGCGGGCACACCGGGCCGCTCACCCAGAACTGTGGAGGACCGAGGCACGGTGAGAGGAAATGCTGTCGACGCTTTCAGAATAAAAGCTTATTTGGTCCCAGAAAACATTAAGAGATAAAATTGATCCGATTGGTTCGTTGATCAAACAGCAGCTGCGCCTTCAGGCCCGAGCGCTCATCACCTTCGCCGGGACGATTCCCTACAACATGGCCGGAGACACCAACGCCAGGCTGGTCCAGATGGAGCTGCTGATGAACTGAGCCGGCAGAACCAGAACCAGAACCTCCCCACCTTCTGTTTTCTGATGCCTCATTTTTTCCACTTCCTGTCAGGTTTTTTTCTTTTTGTTTGTACCTTCAAAATAAAAGCTCTTCAGTTGTCCCTGTTTTGTTTGGCATTTGGTCACTTTCCTCATGTTTGCTGTTGTTTGTCCTCCATAACTAAAACATCTTACTGCCTCAGACTGAGGTACAAAATTCATTTCTTCCAGTTTTTCCACAGAAAAAGTTTCAGTCCAGATGGAGCAAAAATATTTCAGAAGTTTATTTTCCAGCTTCCAGCAATTAAAACCCCAAATCCAACTTCTAGTTATAATGATCATAAGGATGACAAAGCAGGCCTGTTCAGTTCTCTCCATTATCATTTTTGCATCCAAGTGAATTCATGGAAAGTTGAGTGGAAGAAGAAAGTGACAGGATGCGTTCAGGGTCAGAAATGAGGGACTGAATGAACATGTTCCAGATGTTGATGTTTTATTTTCTTCGTCTGAAATCAGTTCTAAGTGTGCAGAAGGGGCCCGGTTCTGTTGGACTCGTCCGCTTTGGACAGACGAAACATCCTGACCCTGAATCCTCCTCGGACCCAATCCACAGATGCTTTAGGGCCATCTCATCAACTGCTGGCTAATCAAATCATTTTTCTGGATCCAAGCAGCAGATTTAGATCTGGTTGCTGATTGGCTGATAATTTAATAACGTCATCAGTTCACTGAAAAAGGGAGAAAAACCTTCAGATCATCATTTCTCCTCATGGTTTTGTTTTTGACAGTAAATCCTCCAGAATGCCTGAGGACAAGTTGGCAGATGGTTCCGGTTCCGGTTCGGGGCTTGAGGGAAGAAAGGCAGAAATATTTCATGAACAACCAGATCAGAAATCATTTCAACAGGAAGCAGAACCGGCAGCCAGAACCGATGGCTCCATCAGAACCCGTCCAGACCTTCGTCCTCATCATCCTCCCTGCAGTTCTGTCCGCTGCAGGCGCATCGGAACCGGACCGTCAGCCGAACCTCCGGACGTGCTGCTGCAGCTGGTGTTGTGAATCAGGCCGATGGCCGCGCCGCCAGAATCCGGCCATTTCTCAACACCAGGGCCGCCGCGCGTCACACGTCACTCACACGTCACCCAGGGGCTCAACCCGCGGCTCGCGGGCCACCTGCGGCCGCCGCCGTCCAGTCGGCTTTCAGGTGAAACCTGACAGTTTGACACTTTCTCCACGTTTTGTCTGTTTTTAAGTTCCTCGTGACGTGAAGTTTTCTGTGAAAATGTTTTCATCCAAACCCACGAAGACCCAACGTGTTGCAGTTACACGACCTGGCCAGCATGAGGCGCTCTAACACTGAGACTCTCCAGGAACAGAGGAGGCGGCTGGGTTCTGGTTCGGTTTTGGTTCGGTTCTGGTTCAGTTCTGGTTCAGTTCTGGTTCAGAGGGAGAAATGACATCATAATATTTCGCTTTTAAATGAAATATTTAAATTCCTGACTAGATACTGAATTTGAATGTTCAGTATTTAGTTTGAAGCCAGAGGATGTTGGATATTTATGAACAAAACTAATTTTCCTTTATGAAAGGTAAAGAAAATTATTGCTGTTCATTTTAGAAACGGTGCACAGAAATTCACCAACTTTCAACCGAACCTCTGGTTCTGCTTAACTGGACCGGTTTAGACTGCAGCTCCACCCAGTACCAGCAGATGGTTCTGGTTCTGACCCAGATAGCAGATGGTTCTGGTTCTGACCTGCAGCTATTTCTGACCCACTTTAGTCTCTTCCCTGCAGCTTTCCTGTCTGACCTGAAAACGGCGTTTCCATTCATCTGAGCTTTGACTACACCACTCTTGCAGAAACGTTGAAGCTCATCTGGATTAGTTGAACATATCTTTAAAAAAATCGAAATAAACTCAACTTATTATTTATTTTTAATATGTTACTGAGTCTGCGACAGTCTGGCAACCTCCAGGTGACCTCCAGGTGACCTCCAGGTGACCTCCAGGTGACCTCCAGGTGACCCGCCCCTCGCTCAGAACGAGAGGCAGCAGCTCCTGACCCTACTGGGGTCAAGGGTGAACAGATAATGGATAGATGGATTTTACTGATTTTAGCCTCTTTATCTGCTTACACACACACTGCAGCTTAAAGAACCATGTTTCTGTGAGACTGCAGAGAAGAATAAAAGCTAAACTCACCTGGCTCCGTCCATCAGCTGAGCCCAGTGGGCCGGCGCTGGACGGTGAATGTTGCTGGTTCTGATCCATTTGGTTACATTTTTGATCATTCTTTGTTTTTATGACCAAATCTCATCTTTTCTCAAGGTATTTACATTGAGGGGTTCTGGTCCGGTTCTGGTCCGGTTCTGGTGGAGCTCAGAGAAAAAATGAATGAAGTCCAAACTTGTGTTGTTGTTTTTATGTAGAAAATAATCATAAAATATTGATTTGTTGGGGGTTATAATAATGTGTTTTATTCATTTTATTGAACTCAAACTGTTTTTATTTTTACTTCTTTCTTAGTGCGCATGAATAAATCATATCTAATTAACGGGGTGTCTACGGCGCATGCGCGGCCCGCAGGTGAAACCAGGTGTGTCTGATTGCAGCTGCTGAAAACGAGCGGAGGAGAAGCGGCGCCCGGATCCTCTGTCAGCGCAGAGAAACAGAACCGAACCTACTGATTCCCGGACCATGGCGTCGCTCGGGTTGAAGGTGGGTGTTTGGACCGTCGGAACCGGCTGATCTGTGCGGTGTGAAGAGCTGAATGTTCTGCTGTCTCCTCAGCTGATCCTCTTCGGCTTCATGTGTCTCAGAGTTGAAGGTATGACAGAAGAAGTTTTTCTTGTGTGGTTCCGTTTCGGATGGACTCATCCCGTCCTCCGTGTGAGCAGGAAGCTGCAGCGTGCAGAACTGCAGCGACCCTCGGACCTGCGTCCTGTCCGCGGACCGGAGGAGCTGCCGCTGCGCCGCGGGACTCTACGGCCCGAACTGCGAACACAGTATGTGCTGGTTCTGGACCTCGTGCTGGTTCTGGACCTCGTGCTGGTTCAGAAAACCTGTTGAATGTTCAAATGACATGTTCTCTGGTTTTTCCGGTGTTGAGCAGCTGCAGTGTGTTCCTCTGGACCGGGGGGTGGGGGGGGCAGAATATGAATATGACTTCAGGTATCCAACGCTTTATGACATCTGAGAGCTGGACAAGGATGGCGAGTCTGATGTAAGCGGAGAAATATGGCGTGATAATGCTGCAGCAGCGGCGGGCGGGGGGGTGTGTGCTGCAGCAGCGGCGGGGGTGTGCTGCAGACTGTCTGCAGACTGCCTGGCTTACGAGCCCTTTTCTCTGCGCGGTGGTGCAGCGGTGAAGAGCATCCAGTTGGTGCGATGGCGCTGAGTGTCAAACATCCAGAGGAGCAGGAGCTGCTGCTCTGCGTTCCCGCTTCAACGCTGCTGGTTCAACGTCAGCAATAACCGGAGCTTCAGCAGCTGCTCGCCGCTCCAGAGTTAAAACGTCCAAATGATCCGAACCCATCCGGTTCTGAACTGATTTGTGTCGTTTCATCATCAGCGACCAGCAGCCTGATGTTTCTGCTCTCTTGGTTTGTTCACTTCCTGTCAGATTGACAGATTCTGTCTGTGGAGGTGAAACTCATGAGCTCTGCTGTTGCAGCATGTCTTTGTTGCAACGTTAAATTATCATAGTTGGGTATCAAGGACCCGTCAGTAGCTCCGCCCCCAGCCCGTCAGTAGCTCCGCCCCCATCCCGTCAGTAGCTCCGCCCCCAGCCCGTCAGTAGCTCCGCCCCCAGCCCGTCAGTAGCTCCGCCCCCAGCCCGATGCTCACTTGTTCCGCCAGTGGCTCTGGGTTTAACGCCAGAGAAAGTCCTGCAGATTATGTTGTTTGCTCCACCTAATGTGCAGATGAGAGAAGTTTCACTTTTGGATCAATCTGAGCTGCTTGCTTAAAGTTGCCGACTCGTTTCCTGCGACTTTTTGTGGGTTTCTGTCGCCGTGACGCCGTCGTCGTCCTGCAGGCGCGCAGGTCAAGGTCCTGTGTGGCAGAGACTTCATGAGCATCCGGGCCGCAGAGGATTTCTTCTCCTACCTGAAGGTCCCGCTGGAGTCGCTGCACCTGCCGAACCCGGCCTGCCGGGCTCAGAGGGAGGTGATCGCCGGGACGCCGTTCTTCATGTTCCGGACGTCCAGGGAGAAGTACCTGGCCTGTGGAGGGAATCCGCTGCAGGTACCGGTCCAGGTCCCACTGCTTCAGACCTTCCTCACCCGTGATCCAAACCGACTCCTTCTTTTCTGTTGCAGAAGAACTCGACCCACCTCCTGTACTCCCTCACGGTCCGATCGGAACCTCAGGTCAGCGGGAACATCATCAGAGACCCGGCCATTAAGATGGACTTCACCTGCGTCTACCCAAACCTTCGCAGGGTCAGCCTGCCGTTCCCGGTCCGGCCCATCTCCAGGTGAGAAAACCGGACCGGTTCAGTCATCTCGCCACGGTTTGGACCTCCGGCGGTAATTTAGGTCTCCTGGCTGATCAGCCAGATGGTGATGCAGGTGGAGGAGATGGACGCCACCATCCGGATGTTGCTGTTCGCCGACAGCAGCTTCAGCCGGGCCTTCGGCGCCACGCCGACCATAGAGCTGCGGGACCCGGTGAGGAGACTCAGCTGACCGATTCCGGTCCGATTAATTTAGATTAACTGACTAATGACTGGGTGGAAACAGGTGATGTGATTATTCCAGAATGTGAAGCTAAAACTTAAAGGTTTTATCTTAATGCAAAATGTCGATTCAGGATGTTCTTTCATAACTGATTAATCGACTTAATAAATTTCTAGGGATTTTTGTTCTAACATACTGATCACTGATCTCTGGTGCCGGAGCCAAGACCGGCGCCCGCACTACAGGACTCACTAGATGTGAAATATGATCAGAATTGCTTCTCAAATTGATCTGAAAGATTCAAAACAGCCAGATATTAAACACTTAGAGCTGAAATATATTTAACCGGCATCACTATCAATTCAAACTCTTCATTCTGCTTTGCTTCCATCTTTGTGCCACAATCCTCGGAGGTCTCCTGCCATCCCTGAAAAGATGACGCCCTGGGCGGTTGCCCATACTGCCCATGTCAGAAACCACCAGTCTGCACCATTAAACACAGCAATCAATGTACTGGACTCACGGTAAACGCTCAACTATCAACACTGACCAAGAAGGAACCAAGTACAAGGCGACTGACTTTGTCTCTCCTGCTGCATGAAGCCCAGCAGCTCAGAGCTGCAACATGTGGCACATGACAGGAGACGTGAGCACGCTCTGCAGCTCTGATCTTCTTCTTTTATTCACTGATTAAATCAAGATCAATGATTTAAAATAATAGTGACTGCAGAGTAGCAGAGCAAAGAACGGCTGTCGGTGAGAATCCAGTCCTCGTTCTGAGCAAACAGCCCTTCAGAAGAATCGGATCGTTCCTGGATGTCAGGCTTTGGTCACAGCGTCGTCCCATAATGCAACCTGTCAGTCAGCGTAGTGAGTCTCTGCGTTTTGTACAGTTTGTCCCTGAGCAGCTAGCTTTAGCTTTGCTAGCATCAGGTCCAGAGCGTTCCGGTCTTCTTCGCTAAGTGACTGTAGAAGTTGGACCTGAATTCATCATATCTGATTTATGTCGCCAGATTCTGCTGCGCATGTCAGAGCGAGTTAAAGGGATGCGACAGCAGAAACGCAGTAATAAGCAAGTCACATTATTTTTGGGTTTGAATCGGTTTATTTTGCTTGCAGTGAAAACAAAGATGTTAATAGTCACTAAATTTGGTGATGTTTCTGCAGCTGCAGTGTAGAAATAAAATGCAGAGACTGTTGAAATGTTTCTGGAGCTCAACACCAGCGACGCTCTTAACGGTTTTAATGCACATCGTTTATGTCCTGCTGCAGCTTTGAGATGAATCCAACTCGCCGTATTGTGAATCCAGCACGTTATCTGTGTTGACCTTTGACCCCGGCATCTCATGTTGCAGGTGCACGTGGAGGTCTCCGTGGCCGAGCCTGCAGACTTCTTCCTGCTCCGGGTCGATGACTGCTGGGCCAGCCGGTCCCCGCGGCCCAACGCCACCGGACCGCTTCACAGCCTGGTCCAGAACGGGTCAGAACCGGTTCCGTTCCTCTCTGTGCTGAAGGAAGCAGCTCCTCACACTTCCTCCTCCTCTTCCTCAGCTGCGTGGCCGACCCCACCGTGACCTTCCTCCCGCTGGCTGATGGGCGGGCCGGGCCCAACGGGCGGAGCTCCGGGATCCGGTTCCGCTTCCAGATGTTCCGCTTCTCAGCCGGACCCTCAGAGTTTTACCTGCACTGCAGCGTGCAGCTGTGCGAGCGAGACGACCAGCCGTCCTGCCTGCCGGTGAGCCCTGTTCCGACCCGACCCGGTTTCTCTGGTCCTCCCAGGACTTACAAAGATTTTCTCCTCAGAGCTGTGGTGCCATCAGCAAGCGGGAAGCCGTCAGGCCGCTTCCCAGCCGTGGTCTGCTGTCCTACGGTCCGATCCTGGTCGAGGTTCCGGACCGGCCCGAGTCCAGTGAGTTGCTGCTCCTCGTCTGTCATCATCTCCAGGTTCTGTTCTTCATGTCTGCTCTGTTCCAGATGTTCTGACGGCGGCGGTTCTTCCTGTGGCCGCAGTCTGGACGCTGGGCTTCTTCCTCACCCTCCTCATCATCGTCGCCAAGGCTGGCAGGAGGCGGGCCCCTGAACCCGAGGGCCCCTGAACCCGAGGGCCCCTGAACCCGAGGGCCCCTGAACCCGAGGGCCCCTGAACGGCAGGAAGCTCCAATAAACCCTCTTTCATCACTTCCTGTTTTTCTCCTGGTCGCAGTAGCTTTTTATAAAAGTCAAAATGCTTTCAAGTTCTAGATGTGATTCATTTCAGCCAGAAACTGATGCAGAAAACCCAAATAAGATTTATTATGTTTATGATGCAGAAACCCCCAAAATAAACGTATTAAATCTGTTGTGACGGAGGAACCGATCAACGCTGTTAAAGCCGTCATGACAGTCAAAACACTTTAATTTTACCAACAGAAATCTGATTAATAACCTACAAAATATTAAAGTGGTAAAGAATAAGGTTGGAAATAAACTTGCAGGTTTTTAGTAATGTTTGTGCAGCTGCAGTTCTACAACAAGAGCAGCAGGGGGCAGCCTCGGCTCTCTTCAGAATGTATGGCAAGCCGTTCTACCAGAGAATAATAAAGTTCTTTCCATTCGGAACAGGCCCAGATTCAACTGCTTGGAGGCCCCTTCAGGGTCCGGTTACCTGCAGTTTGAAACCCTCAGTGATCAACCAGAACCCGTCTGGAACAGTCTATGGACTCAGCCAATCACAGAGCAGCAGCTGTGGAGGTGATGATGATGATGGTCAAACTGGTTCAGAACCGACAGAATCCCGGGTCGTTGGTACCGCACTGCTTTACGGAACATGAAATAAACAGAACTGGATCTTTGCTTTCAGTTTGTTCACATTGACATTTATTTGGGAATAAAGAATGGTTCTGATGGAAGACCCATCAGAACCAGAACCGCCTCGGTGAAGGGATGGAGATGTCGGGTTTAACGATGACCAGGTGTACCTAATAAAGTGGCCGGTGAGGGTTCCACGCAGTTTAAATAAAGGACTGGTTCTTTATTATGTGACGTAATGACCTGCTCTGAAATCACGGATCGACTTTATTCGGGTATTTCCGTCGTTTCTACAGCTTTAGATGTTGAAATGTGACCCGGCGGTGGGAGCAGAACCTCGGATGGGTTCTGACTGGTTCTGATCTTTCAGGTCCACTTCTACGCGGTGAAAACTGTTCTACTTTCCAGGATCCGGTTCCTCTGGACTCTGTTCAGTTCGGGTATGTGAATCCTGCTGCAACTCATCCCTGGATTGGACCGGGCGAAGGCTCCGAACCGTTCTGCGGTCCAACTTCAGAACAGAACTGCAGAGTTCGGAATCCGGACGGCACGCGGAGGAAGAGGAAGCGCTCTCTGTCCGATGGACAAAGTTCCTTCATCATCATCATCATGTCGGTCTGCCTGGTTCCGCTGGGCTCCTGCAGCGCAGAGACGCCTGGTGAGGAAAACCGGAACCGGGTCCAGTTGCTAATACATTGTTCCACATTTCTAATAAAACTCTAATCAGGTTTTAGTTGAGATTTAAAGGAAGTCAGGGTTTCTGCTGGTTTACAGTTTTCTGGAAGTTTGTTCCAGATTTTTGGTGCATAGATGCTGAAAGCTGCTTCTCCTCTCTTGGTTCTGGTTCTGGGGATGCAGATCAGAACCAGAACCAGAACCTGAGAGTCTGGAAGGTTGATACAAAGGAACCTCTGAGACCAGAACCAGAAACCGTTCCAGTTGGATCATATGTTGTCCAGCCATAGAGTGCCATGTCACAATCGACTAACTGTGTTACGTTCTGTTGTTATAATAATGCTCTACATTTCCTGATTTAACGCCTTGAAATTGGGCCTCTGTCTCTTTAAAAGCTCCTGCTCTTCCTGAAGCCTCCAGGAACTCATCCCAACATGGCTCCTCTTTACCTGCGCTGCTCTGAGCAGCAGCTCAGCAGTGCCACCTGCTGTTTGCTCGTGCTGCTAGTCTGAAGGAGCTGAAAGGGGAGGAGCTGCGCCTTGAAGGCGGGGCTAGGTCCACTCAGGTATTTTGCAGCTGAATGGTTACCATGGAGACTAAAGGATTTTTAAAACATGACATTTGAGCCAGAGCAACACTGCAGGGAGAAACCTAAAAGCTGTCGGTTTTTCATGATGCTGCCCCTTTAAGTGGCACACAGCTCTGATTTAAGATTTCAGAGGAAAGGAATAAAAACCACGAATCATTTTCCTGCTTCTCAGAGGTTCGTCCCATAAAGTCCCAATGAAACAATCAGTTTGTGTCTGGATCAAGACCAGGGAAACGTTTAAGAGAAGAGAGAAGCTGTGAGAGAACAGGAATCGTTTCTTGCTATGAAGACAGACAGCCCCTTTTGGGGCTTTTATTTAGTAGTTTTTCTGCAGCGGTAACAACGTTAGTGCATGCAGGTCATGTTCTGAACGGCCTGTGGACTCGCTGGACGACATCTGAGGTTTCACAATAAAATCGCAGCTGAAAGATGAAGACGTCTTCTTGGCTTCTTTCTGTTCCTGATTCAACTTTTCACCACAAGAGGCGCTGCTGCTGCAGAAAAATAATATGCAGATTTAAATGGGAAAAACTTTTAAATTCAAACTGTTGAGTGGAGATCAGCTGTTTATGAAGGCCAGGACTCTGAGCAACAACAGATTCTATCTGGAAGAAAAAACACATGGATTTGCTGAGTCACATCTTCATAACCATCAAAGTTTTTCCTCATTCAATCTTACATCTTTGTGACTAAAGCCTGCGATTATTAGTATTTTTGTCATGAAATATCTTAGCCTGACCCTAACATTGTATTAGCTTCACTTGCTTCTGGCGCCATTTTGTTTTGTGTCGGTCGACTTCTTCTTCTACTGCCTTGAATGGGCAGCCTGTTGCTTATTTGCAGCAGTGCTGCCACCTGGTGGCCGGAGGCTTGTTTCCAGCCAGCAGGGAATGATGAGAAAATGTGCAGAAAATAATCTGAGGCTTTAAGATGGAAGCCAGAACGATTTGAGAGAAAACAGAGAGATGGACCAAACCAGATGTTTTCATCTGATTCAGGCAATGCTGGAGCTCTAAGATTCATTTTCTGCATCATTATTACTGGTATATTTGAACAAACAGACTGTTATCTATAGACATGTGACCTTAATGAACCAGGATAGTTTTGTGAAAGCATCAAACATCACAGTAAAGCTATGAGATGACATGGACGTCTTTGTCCTCTGTGTCTTTGTCTTGTCCTTGTCCTGCTGCTCTTTGTGTCAGAGCTAATCAGGATTAGCCTCCGTCACAGATCATCTGCAGCTGCTCTCTCGGTTATTGATCATATTTGCTGTGAGCAGCTCAGCCCCAGCCTGAACCCCAGAGACGACCTCTGACCTGCGTCCGTCCCCGGCTCTCATCCAGACGTCCCGTCAGGATGTACGCCTGCGCGGCTGTCTTTGAGGCGGGACAGTGCCGTGTCATGGCTGCGTGTCATGGCGCTGTCCTGGTCCAGCTAATCCTGAGCTGATAATGGGATGTGCCGGCGCCTCCTGTCGCTCCAGCAGGAACGCTCCCATGGAAACAATCAGGCTGAGACGGGAACGCCGGACTGTTTCTAGAACTGACCGTCTTCCTGCTCAGGTTGTTCCAGAGGGAAGATTAAAATGTTTTCATCCTCAGACTCACCTGGAAACGAGCCGCAGATTTACCTGAAGAGCTGTTTACCTGTTGCTCAACCTGAATCCTCCTTAATCATCTCTGACATCATCCCTGACATCATCTCTGACATCATCTCTGACATCATCTCTGACATCATCCCTGACATCATCTCTGACATCATCCCTGACATCATCTCTGGCTTTCTGTCCGCCGTTTGAAACTTACAGTTGTTAGCAGCAACAGTTTGGTTTATTCAGCCTTTTATAGTAAATAAAACAAACTGTGGTTCATTTTCATTCATTTGCAAATATCACAGTTTCAAACTAAATATGTAGTTTGCTGTCTAAACTTCTATTACCATAAATAATCAGGTTGCTAGTTAAATATATACCTAGCACACTAGCTTGTTAACTAGATATGTAGTTAATGCACAAAATAGTTAGCTTTCTAATGAAATATTTAATTTGCAACCTAAATAGTTAGTTATTAACCATGACTCTCATAAATGCAGAAATAACACAATGAAAACATGAAAGATGAAAACCCTTTTTATTTTCTCTGACAGGCTAAATAACTCAAAAATATTAATGCTAATGTTTTAGCATAACTTTCCAGACTCCATCTTGTCCCTGTCGGAGCGGTGGAAGCTCAGGTTGAATACAGCCTTGTTTTGTTAGGAACATTTTACAGACGGTGATCTGATCAACAGACCAGGAGAAAAACTGAAGCAGCTTCAGATGCAAACAGAAACACTTCCCACATTAAATATTTATTCAGCCAGAAAAAGGAATAATAGATTCAGCAGGTCAAGGAAACACGTTTGATTTTAAACTGCTGCTTGGAGACCCGACGCGCCTGGAGCCTGAAACGAATCGCAGTCGGTTACAGATCAGAACTCAAAGCAACAGTTTGAGCAAAGAAAATTAAACATGAACATCTTGTTATCGTTCAATATGGCGACGGAGTTTTATTATTTTCATTGACACTTTTGCTTTCTCAAAGTGCGTCTCCTCAGATCGACCTGCTGGGGGCGCCGTGGGATCTGCTGCACGGGGAGCAGCGGTTGTGGGTTTGAATCCCAGACTGGGGCTTTCTGCATGCATAAGTTTGCACCACTCCGTTTGCCTGCGTGGGTTCTCTCTGGGTTCTCCTCCTGCAGCCCAGACCAGGAATAATCTGCATTCTCACGTCTCTAACCAGTTGATCCCAGTTCAGCTGGGGTTTCCTCCCAGTTGTCTGTAGAAACACACTGAGCTCTCAGAAGCTGAATGACTTTTTCATTCAGAAAGGCGTCAAATGGGGTCCTGGTAGTTTGTCAGGCCACCGTAGTTTGTCCATATTGCTCCTCTGACGTTAATAATCTGAGGGATTGAGGCCTCAGGTTAATCCCATCAGCTCCCTCCAGGCTGCCGCAGAGGAAATCCCGCAGATCTGCGCCGCTCTCTGGGTCTCTGGGTCTCTGTGCGTTCGGCATGCTCAGCCTCCCGTAGAGTCGCAGGTAAGACAGCCGCTGCATCAGAAACCGTCCGCAGTTCAATCCCACAATTCAGTTCTCTGAGGCGTCGCGAAGAGCTGCTGAGGAAAGGCCTGGTTCTGATCCGGTTTGGCTCTGCTTCTGATTTGTATCCGGTTTGGTTCTGGCATGGTTCTGGTCCAGTTTTGCGCTTTGTTCTGGTTCGGTTTGGTTTTCAACCAGTTTGGTTCTGGTCCGGTTCTGGTTTGGTCCGGTTTGGTTCTGGTTCTGGTCCGGTCACCAATCACAAACAACTGGAGGAAGTGACTTCCTGTCGTTTCTCTGGTTCTGTTGGACCGGCTGATCTGCTGAGTTTAAGAGATCTGGAGGGTCAGTGACCTTTGACCTCTGACCCCGACCTGACGGTCAGTGCTGGGGTCCTATTGTCCCATTGTCTCTGCGTTGAGGCAGTGGGACTGTCTCCCCCCCGTGGAGTATCCTGGTAGTGCAGCTTTGGCGCCGCCTGCCGGCCGCTCTGACGTTTCTGCCCCAAGTTATAAATATGAAAATTGTCACGTTATTTTTCTGGATGTGTCGCTAAACATAAAAACTACGTTCTTCATTCAAAGCTCTGCTACACAGGTGAAGGGTATGCTTTAACTAGGACACTGCAAAGATTTGGTGGCGTTGGGTCAATATTTATCTAAGACGGTATTTAATGGTTAATAGGTCAATAAATATTAAAATGTAA